CTAAGGATTTTATCTCCATTACAAATCTTATGACATTCCTTTGGTTGAACCATTCAAGACTCCAGTTTTAGAATCAACTCCAAATTTTTATGGGGTTGTGTCCACCTTTTAAGCCTCTTTCTTCACGGCTTCCCATCCACTTCATAATCCAGTGGTCCTTTACTTTTCAGGCTGTTTTCTATGATGAAATACTCTTCCTCTGCTTTTCCCATTATGCCCCCCACCCCATCCCTCATTATCCCATTTGACTGGCTAAGTCCTGCTAGTTTTTCATAAATCAGTTTAGCCATCACTTCCTTGTGGAAGTCTTGCTTGATGTCCCATGTCTCAGTTGGATGCCGCTACATAGGTCCTCCTGAGCCCTTCTATAGCAGTTATCACGACGTATACTGATGTCTTTCCTCATCTCTGACCCCCACCACTTTGTGAGCTCCAAAACAAGAAGGTTCTGGTTGGTTAGGTCACCACTGAAGTCCCAGACCCAGTACAGGAAATGACAAATAATAGAGGCTTATGAAGACAATGAATTAAATGAGTTACACAAGACAAGTTAACCAAAGTAAAAACAGTAGCTAACAGTTTCATAGTATTTACTGTATGTGAGTCATACTTCTAAGTACTTGAGTACTAAGTACTATTTAACTTATTTAATTCTCCCACATCCTCAAAAGGTAGGTACTAGCATGTTTTCATGTTTTTGTTTTATAGAGGATTAAATAGAATAATGTTTTAGACTGACACTTAGCAAACCACTGCCCTTGGGCCATATCCAGCCAGCTGCCTAACTCTGTAAATAGTTTTACTGTACACAGCCACGTGCATTGCTCTAAGCATCTTCTGTGAATGTTTTCCCACTATAATGGAAGTGTTGAGTAGTTGTGATAGAGACTGTATTGCCCACAAAGACAAACTATATACTATCTGGCTCTTTGTAGGTTCATATAGGCCATTTGCCCAAAAAGTCTTCATCTGAAGCACGCAGAAAATCTTGTGTATTTATGCTGTCTATTGTTTATATCCTAAAAAGACAACCTTGACAATCCTCAAGCTCCATTTTAATTTTTAATTTTCCATTTTTTAGCATTGTTTGGTTTTGATAGTATAGCATGGCAAAATATGTCCATTGTATAAAGTAATTTCTCTTGGTGGAAGTTTTTTTAAAACCCATAATCTTGCTGTTTCTACTTTATAGAATTTAGAAATTGAAGGTGCCTGGGGCCTCTCTCACCATTAAAAAAAATGGATTGGGAAATGAGGTCTAGAGACACTGATTTATTTCCTAAGAGTCACACAAGAGGCCAGGAGTGAGGTCTGGACAAGAACCCGGGTCCACTGACCTTCTGACGAAGGCCCTGGTGGCCCAGCTCTCTGCTTTTCCGTTGGCAGGGCTCCCTGAGCACCCACTCCAACTGAGAGAGTCAACTGGGAATCAGTAGCTTGGGGTCAGAGACAGCAAGTTTGGATGACTTATTTTCCAAATGCAGAAAGCCAATTCTAAGCCTTTAACATCAACAGGATCCAGAGAGTCTGGCTAAGGATTGTTGTTACTCCTCGGCTTCTTTCTTTATCTTATTTATGCATGGTGTGTGTGTGGAGGGGGGTGGCTAGCTTTCATGACCAAATCTTAAGTAAATGAGAAAAGTGCCTTAAAGTCTAACTAGGGTAAATGCTACTCTAGTAAATATTGGGTCTGATACCATCTGAGCCCTGGGGTAGGGAATGTGAAGATTACAAATGGTTGTTATTCAGATCAATCAGTAAAGAGCACACTAACATCTTCATGGAGCAGCACAGCTCATTTAGCACATGCAGCATCCACTCCAGGATTCCTGGATGCAGCTCACATCACCCAGGACCCTGCGTGAGCAACGCTGTAGTTAAGGATATGTCACAGCAAATCAACAAAATATGCAGCTTCATCAGCACATTCTGAGAGCAGGTCATTAAAATATGCAACCATATCCCCCAAGTGCATGAAAAATTAACTAACAGCTTTTGTATCTTGATCAGCTTAATGAGTAAGTAGTGGCTGAACAGGAGTGTCAAATTGTACAGTCTGGCAAGGGGGCAGGTGACTGTCTGAGATAAGCTGGGAAGGCCAGAGTTAATACAGTTGGTTTTCAAAATACCAGTCCTTAGAATTCAGTGTCAGAAAGAGCTGATTAGTATTAAGATGTTGTCCAGCCTTCTGATGTAAATGAAACATTGATTCTCCATTTCAGGCTTCACTAAGTCTTAATGGACTCAGCCATGCGCCTGGAAGCCCCTGCCAATGGCATCATATACGCATGTGTACAACTAAGCGGCAGTGGCAGCCTTCTGGATGTATCTAAACCATCTGACCTTGAAGAGCAGATAAAATGAAGAAGGGAAAAAAAACCTCTTTAATCAAACTGTATCAGAGATGCACCATGCCATTGAGAGAAAAGCCAGGCTTCATAAACCAGGAAGGCCCCAGCTAGAAAGTTGGCAGAGAATATGAGTAAATTAAGTCTGAGTCATTGATGATCGCTGAGGAAACATGTGAATTGGGCCGTCACAGAAGACTATAGGGTCTGCTGTCACCCTGCTATTGGCAGGACACTTATGGGGAAGCTGACAACCCACTTTTAACATAGCACACATGCGCTTCGTGACTTGGCCCATGTATAAACGGGACCTTAAACACCAGCCTGTTGATCCTGCTCTGCTAGTTTAGCTTGGCTGACCAGGGGGCATTGCAGCTGATGGAGTGTCGGTTTCCCAGGGCATAAATTTATCCCCTTCTGTAGTGAACTGGGCGGTGGAAAGATAGCAATCCCAAATAAAAGGCATAGAACAAATCCAAATGGGAAAATTGTGCAGACAAAGGAGGAGGCTGGCAGCCTGGCGAAGGCTGAGGTGGAGCTGGCTGCCTGTTGCCCTTCCATTGAGAGTGTACTGTTGGGGCGGAGGAGGTGGGAGAGAGCTAGACTTCTTTTTGTCTTTCTAGATTTGATTAGACTTTCCCAAAGTGCAGCACTTGGGCAGACCCAGAAAGACTTTTGGCCACATGTGGTATATGGACAAACTTTTTAAAATGCTAATACTTAATGATTCTATTCTCATGAATATTAGATAAAATAGAAATAGCACATCAAACTCATGATTTGACTAATATTATTTCTTCTAGTAAGGTAAAGATAGCAAAAGTGAGTCTAGTTAAAGTAAGTTTAAAGAAAAATATTACATATATAATAGGATATGTGATATGACTAGATAAAGGAATTATGGTCTACACATATAATGGGATATTTTTCAGTCTTAAAAAAAATAAAATCCTGCCATATGTGACAACATGGATGAACCTGAAGAACACTGTACTACGTGAAATAGTGCCATCACAGGAAGACAAATACTGCATGATTCATTCATATGAGGTATCAAAAATAGTCAATTTCATAGAAGCAGGGAATAGAATGGTGGTTGTCAGAGGCTGAGGGCAGGGAGAGTGGGTATAAGTTTTGTTCAATCAGTATAAAATTCCAGTTATGCAAGATAAATAAGTTCTAGAGATCTGCTGTACAATGAAGTCCCTATACTTAATGATACTGTACTGTGCACTTAAAAATATTTATTAAGAGGTAAGATCTCATATTAAATATTCTTACCATATAAGCAAAACCAGAAACAAAGGGACACAAGGAAACTTCTAGAGGTGATGGATGTCTGTTACCTTGATTGTGGTGATGGTTTCATGAAAAGGTACATGCATATGTCCAAACCCACTCAATTGTGTACATTAAATATGTAGTTTTTGTATATCGACTATACCTTAATAACACTATTTTTAAAGTGTTTAACATGTTTAAAAGTACACAGTTTAAATGTAAAAATCAATTCATTGAAAAACATTAAAGAAGATCTAAATAATTTTGGAATTATAGCATGATATAGATAGGAAAATTTAACATTGTATAAATATTTATTCTCTTCAAATTAACTGTAAATTTCATGTAATTCCAATCAAAATTTAGATAGAATTTTATGTGGAGGTTAGAATCTGATTTCAATGTTTACATGGAAATTCGCAAGGTCAAGAACAGCCAGTACAATTTTAAAGAAGAAAAAGATGAAGCAACTTGCACTACTAGATATATTAATTAAACAAGGTGGTATTGGTGCAAAGATAGACTGCATACTCAAAGAACGAAATGTAGAACTTGGAAACACAGCCCTCCCTAGAAAGAAATGGTATAGATGGAGGTGGTAGTGCAGGTCTCTGGAAAAGGGATAAACTCCTAAGTACACGTTACTCTATTGGTTGACTATATTGAGGAAAAATAAAACAGTTCCTAAATACCACTACACACAACAATCAATTCCTTGCAGATTAAGGACTTAAATGTGAAATGCAAAATTTTTAAACCTTTAGGAAACAGGAAAGGAGAATATACTTATAATCTCTGTGCAGGGAAAGGGTTTCTTAAACAACAGAAAGCACAAAACATAAAGAACAAGATATGTTGTTTTGACTATATTAAAATCAAGGTAGCAAAAGTCTTTTAAAAATATCAAAAAAAAAGAGGAAAATTCAAATGATGAACTAGGTGGACATGATATATGGTACATATATGTAGAAAAGAATGCACATCAAAAGTACATATAAAGAACTCTTTGGAGTCATTAAGAAAAAGGTAAATAACCAAACAGAAAAACAGGCAAAGACATAAACAGGCATTTCATAGGAGAAAAATATGGATGGTGAATAAATATTAAAAGATGGTCAGACTCACTGGTGATTAAGGAATCACAATTTAAAACCAGGATGAGATACAATTTCAGGCTCACCAAATGGGCAAAAATTAAAAAGTCATCTGTTCGTGATGGTGTAGATCTAAGAACTCTCACACACTGTAGAATAGAATGTAAATCAGAATAACTTCTTTGGAAAACAGCCATTTTTCAGCACACTGGAAAATTCACATAACCTATGACCTAATGGTTCTGCACCTAAGCATATACCCAAGAGAAACACTTACACATTTGCATCAGGAAACCATGCATAAGAATATCCAGAGCAGATTCCCTGTAATAGCAAAAATGGAACAAATCAGATCCCCATCAGCAAAGAAAGTATAAATAAAGGACAATAGCATACAGTGGAATATTATGCAACTGTAAAAAGTAAATCAACCACAGCTCCACAGGTAAGTTGCAAAAACAGACTGTTGAGTTTCAAACACTGAGACACAAAAGAATAAAGAATATACACCATGTTACTGAGTTACTACTTTAAAAACATAATATATTTAGATGAACACATAGGTTATAAAAATTATAAAGAAGAAGAGCAAGAGAATTATGATAGACAATTCAAGTAGTGAATTATTTCTGGATGATGAAAGGGAGGAAAAACTGCATAGATGCACACATTCTAACTTCAGTAAACATTTATTTCTTGACCTGGTGGTACAGGAGTATTGATTTTATCATCCCTTAAATTGTACATATAAAAATATACCTCTTATACCCTTGTTTGTATATATTGTAGAATTTACAGTTTTAAAAAGGCAAAAGAAATTATACAGTTAACAAATATGGAAAAATTGTGAAGGTATCACTTGATTGACCAAAGTAAGGGTCATTCTTTGCCAGAAAGAAAAAGGATATGTGACTGCAGTATATGCAATGCCAAAGGTTCCATTAATACTTTTGGGACACTAGTGCAGACATGAATATTTGTCACCTGGCACATAATAGATACTTAATACAGTTGTTGAAAGAAAGAAGGAAAAGAAAGATGGGCAAGAAGGGAGAGAAAGAAGGAAGTAGAGGGAGAGGAAGGAATTAAAAGGTAGAGGAGGGTGTGGGAGGGAAGAAGGTTGGCCACACTGGATTTGTGAATAATTAAGTCTGCATAATAAATACATTCCTTGTTGTTTGGAAAGAGTTCAGTCTTGTCTTGATTGAGGGAGAGCTCCATTCTCTTGCAAAATGTAGCCCATTGTGTCTCCATGTTACTAATGGCTGCACTGACGGCTACAGTACACCACTGAGACTTGCTTGTCAAACATTCACTACTATGCCATGTTATTATAGATTTTTTTTTCTGATAGAGTAATCACTTCTACTTATGTGGAATGACAGAAGCTGCCTGATAGTGTTTAATCTAATCTGAAAATATAAGAAATAGCCCAGCTATGTAAGACAAAAAGAACCCAAAGGGAATTTTTTTTGAAAAGTCAGGATAGGAAAGGAAGCATTAAGCATATAATTAAACTCTGACAGACTGTACCTTTTGCTTTAGTTTCCTGAGAATTGGGTAGTAGGTAAATACCCCAGTATGTTGATTGTAAGCTTCCATCTGCATTTTTAGATTAATTTTTAATGTTGAATAAATACAAAATAATATTCATAACACATTTTCAAAGTATAAAAATAATGACAAAAGCAAAATCTTGTATATACACTATACAACTTAAAAAAATAGAATATTAATGCAGTCTTAGATGCTCTTCCCATATCTCTTATCACTTCCCATATAACTTTCTATCAGCTCATGTGAAGTAATGACTATCCAGAATTTTATTTATATTTCATGGCTTTTGTTTATAGTATTTCATATTTGTATATATTCTAAACACTAAGTTCTTTGCTTTTATAGATTTTTTGACTTCATATAAATACAATAATGATACTTTTTTTCTACCATGACTTTGTTTTTTATCACTCAGTACTCTGTTTTTAAGGCTTGTCCATGCTGATAATAAATAATAATTTATTCCCATTTCTCTTTACAATCACATCATATGATTACCACAACATACTTATCCATTTTTCCTATTGATTGTATTTAAATTACTTTTGTTATTATGACACTGTGAACTTTCTTGGTTCACATGAGCAAGTTTCTCTGGGACTATAACTAACAGTGCAGTTATTGGTTAAGAGGGCATGTGCATACGCAGCTTTACCAGACAGTGATTGTTTTCTGTAGCAGTTTACTAATTTGCACTCCCATCAGCACTGACTGAAAATCGCCATTGCCTCATATCTTCACATGTCATTTGTGCCACTCTCATTGCTTAGTATTCATCAAGTCTTCTGATGTGCCAACTTATGTCATACTTTTAAGTCACTGCAAATGTGATTCAGTCAGTACATAAACAATACATTTAGATCTACACCCACAATTTGAAGTTAGTGACCCATGTTGAATTGAGGAATGGCCTCACTTGGACATTTATAAAAAGGCACAGCTTAAAAATGAGAACAACTTTGTTGTTTTCTCAATAAAGTGCTGATTGACAAATATGAGGAAAAAATTGTAATGTTAGTAGTAGAAATGAAATATTGTGTTTGGCACTGTTGGGAAATCACCCAAGTTTTGTGGGTTTCTGACTTCATAACTACAAGATATTTGGATCAAAGTATACTTACTTTAGGTGACATATGAATTCATAATCCAAGGGAAAAAGCCTCATAAAAATAACTTCACATTAAATATATCTTGCAAAAGAACCATTTAACTTGGCAAAATTTTAATGAAATAAAACACATGGGTTAGATTTCCCTTATAATACACATAGGAATAAAATGTGCTCAACAAAATATGCTTTGGCTTTTGCCAAACTAGAAACATCTGAAAATAACCTAAGAAATTTCCTTAAACCATAGCATGTTTCTGGCTTTGTCCACCACTTAATTAAGTGTTGTTTTAATAATGAAGCACATTAGGGATGGGGGTTGTATCCAGCCTGTAAACCGTTCTTTATGGGGTAGTAAAGATAGACAATAGTACTGACATAAAAAATATATTTAATTTCATGGTTTTACCTTCTTAGCATGTGTTTCATATCGGCCTTCCTAGTCTGAAATCTCTTTCAGTTAAGACAGTTAACCATTGTTTTATCCTTGAAAATTTAGGTGAAAATCTATTATGATGGCTCAAGTATAAAGGAACTAGGTAAAATGTTTGCCTGGTAAATTTAATATCATTGTTGATAAAGAACAAAGTTACGTATGCTAGTAATTCATAATTGGGGTTCAGACATTTTTCAAGGCAAGTTATTGTTTTATTCAGTGTCTTTGCTGTGTGAACTCTTGAACCTTTACAACTAATGTTGAAGAAATGATAAAAAAAAATCCATAAATGCCATTTTAATATAGTATCAGTGCATATGTAGACTAATTTTTTAATCTTATAAAAATGCATTTTAGAGATAAAAACTTAATTGTTTTAGACTCCTATCTGTTAGTCTGGATAAATCTGATCAATACATCTGCTGAAGACTGTAAAATCTGGACAAAACATTTTTTTTAAGTATTTGGAAAAAATGTGTTTCAGGCATTAAAAAGACAAAACAATAATAAAGTATCAGTGAGGCAAGATGTGGAGGAGGATTGAAGCCCAGGGAGGTGATCTCGGCTTTGGGGCCACTTTTCCCTGATGCTTCTGCTGAGTGAAAAAGACACTGAAAAGTACAAGAGACATTACTGTACACAGCTTCACAGAGAAAGGAAAATAGGCATTACAATCAAGGACTATCAAGAATGGAAGGGGACTAGTAGAAGCCACTGTAGAAATCCTGAAGGGCCAGACCTTAGGAGCAGGGTTACCTGGAAATAGAGGAAATAATGCTCAGTTTCAATTTATTTCAATACCTAACATTGGATTGAGGTGATATTAACGCTAATGTATAAGCAAATATAAATCCTCTTCCTTAGAATAAGACATCCTAAGCCTGAAATTATTTTTACAATCAATTTTTCAAATACAATGTCCATTCACACACACAAACATATTCACATACATACAAATAACCAAGTTTCCAATGAGATAACAGAATATGAATGAAAATAAGCAGAAAAAGCCCATCCAACATAAATCGACTCATGAAGTCTCCAGATATTGGAGTTCTTAGGCACAGACTTTAAAACAACTGTGCTTACTATATGTAAGGAGAAAGGAAAGGACAAAAATTTGGCAGAAAATTGTAATATATGTATATAAAAAAGAAGCAAATGAAAATACTAGAAACAAAAAAATACAATGACTAAAATGAAAACATTAGTGAATGGGACGGTATTATTAGACAGATGAAGAGAGAATTAATGAACTGGATCACAGACCAGAAGGAAATATCCAGAATGAAGACCATCAAAGGGATGACACTGTAAGTAAAATTGAGACTTAAATATTACAGTAAAAATTCTATCATACATGTAATTGATGACCCAGAGAAAAAGAGGGATAAAGAATAAGTTAGGAGTAATATTTAAGAGACAATGGCTGTAAACATTCCAAAATCACCTCTAACTACAATGTCAAGAAACCTTATGAATCTCATGTGCAGGATAAATCAAGAAAAATACACATGTAAGTACATTATATTGTAATTGCTGAAATAATTTCTTGTGGAGATACAAATACATACACATTGTATAATATATACTTATTTACATTCTCCAGTGAAGTACTAAAAACCATAATAAATGAGTATGTGAGGAGAAATAAAGGAATAAAATATGCTCAATGAAAACAGAAGCAAGAAAGTAGAGAAAAAGCATCATAAAACAAATAGAACAAATAGAAAATAAATACCGATGATAAATCTAAACCCAAAAATGTAAGTAATTGGATTAAATGAAAATGGCCTCAGTGTTCTAATTAAAAGACAAAGATGATCAGATTGAGGGGTATGGGAACCCATATGATGTAAAAAGAGACATATCTAAAATATGAGGAAAAAGAGAAGTTGAAATTAAAAGAGACAGAGCATGCAAATAAATTAGCTAAAAGAAGAATTGCACAGTTATATTATTGTCGACAAATAAATCAGCTCACTTGAGAAGAAAAAGCTTTTTATAGGTTAGGGACAATTCATAGGGATAAAAGTTTCCATCCACCAGGAAGAGTATAACAATTCTGATTTTCTATCCAAATACAGCCGAGTCTCACAATATTTATGATTACAAAATAGAGCTTCCAAACAAAAAAGAAAAAAGAGAAATGGACAATTCCAAAATATCTCAGGAAATTGTAACACATCAAAATATCTAATTTTAA